CTTGATGAGATGATTAAGAAAATCATTCATTTAATAATCAATGACTAAATATTACTATACCAGGAAAAGAACAAGACTCTGCCTCAACCCAGTGTGGAGGGATCGTAGACAACTTCCCCCATACCTCCCCTAACCTCAGTGTGAACAGTCCCCCGACAGATGATTTCCAATGGATTTCCTCCTCCTAGTATTCACACCCTTATGTAGTCTCTTTCCACATTTTACGATGGTGGCCTGTGCAACAAATAGAATATGGCAGGGTGATTGGTATGTCACTTCACACATTAGGTTACAGAAGACTTCCATAGCATCTTAGGAGCTCTTCCTCTCTCCCCCTGTCATTTGCTCTGGGGAAAGCTAGCTGCCGTGTTGTGAGCAGTCCTGTTGAGAGGTGGGGAACAGAGGCCTTCAGCCAATAGCCATGAGAATGAGCTTAAAAGTGGACCTTGCAGGTAACTGCCACACCAGGCAACACCGCGGCTGCAACCTCGTCACAGACCTTGAACCAGAATCTTGCAGCTAAACTATTCCTGGATATCTGACCCTAAGAAACTGTGGGAGAGAGCACCTTAAAACAATGAAACTTAACTAAGTTTCAGGGTGATCCGTTAGACAGCAATAGGTAACTATTACAGGGCATGATTCAAACCCAAGGAGGAGCACAGACGAAGGAGGTGGAATGGCCGGTACATCCCCTGGAGGAGCCAACACTAGGGCTGCAATGTGAAGGTTGTGTGGAGTTAGCCAGCTCAGGAAGGCAGGGAAGGGTAAGCATAAAACCGTGGTCGCTTTTAGGCAACTCCCTGTAGCTCCTCATGGCTTGAGCTCATGGGCCTGTGAGGAAGGGATAGAGGCAATGATGGGGGCCAAAGCTGTAGGGGCTTCAGGATCTACGGGGCAGGTGATCTTTATACTGGGGCCAGAGGGGAGTCTTTGAATTCTAAGCCCAAGGATAACAAGCTTAGGTTTTCCTGTTAAAAAGGTCACTCTGGAGCCAGCCAGCGGTGCAGTGGTTAAGGCAGCTGGATTCCCACTTGGTGACTGCACAACTGGAGTCCCAGGCTCAGCAGCTAAAATAACACATAGGGTGCATGTGCCTGTGTGTGTGCCCCAAATCCTGAGAGAGCAGAAGGGAAGGGATTGCTGCATGGCCTCCACCCCCTACCCTGGGGAGGGGGTGATTTCTCATTTCCCCTCTGTCTCTGTCCTCATTTTCCCTCTGTGTCTCTGGCCAACGCACATGCCCCATGGCAAAACTTAAGAAGGTCACTCTGTTCACTGTGTGGCCAAACTGAGGCAGGTGAGACTGGAATGCGGAACTCAACCCATAAAATACAGGAAAGCACCAGTGTTTT